CTACGGTACATTTGCTTAAGAGATTGACTTGTTGTTTCTTCAAGGATATTATTCTACCATTATTTTGTGAGCGACTATTTTAGCTGCTGATGCTTGTGTGTCACCTGGAACCGGTCTGTCAAACCCCTTCGTCATCAATAATCCTGCTGAGCAGCAGTTTTTGAAATACGCAGACTAGCTCAACTGGCACCTATGCCACATTTAAAACTCTTCTTTAAAACTGCTAAAATCTATTTTTTCCCCAATTTAATGCTTGAATCTCAGTAAATTCTAAGTAAATCATGTCTAAAGCGCATTTAACTGTAGTACACACAAATAGTGGCCTTTTTAATAGTGTTATAATGTTTAGGCTGTTTTATAATTTATAACAGTATATGATAAATGAAGATAAACAAAATTTTCTGAATCCTGCTCAGACATATGCTGTCAGAACATCAGACTCTTTTATATTAAGCAATCATGATGAAAGCAGCATGTCTCCTTGGGGCCACTTTACTTGAAATAACGCAATCAAAGAAAAACACTCTTCATTTAATCTTTCCTCTCTTTCTCTCCTTCAGAGGCTGTTGACCCAGACAAGATGAAAGACAAGTATTGTTTTACCCCCAGCAGAGGGTTGTTGTGTCATAAAAACACTTAACCTGAGTTGTTAAAAAAATAATGTAGAGTTTTTGATATACTTTCTATACTTTTTCACCTGTAATTTATAGGGATTGCTTTTCCTATTTCAGTCGAAGATAATGTAGACAAATATTTTTTAAATTGTTTCTCAACACTGAAATAAAATCAGAGGCTACTCCTTCTTCTGTTACAAAAGCTTATTTGTATTTTATTTGGGTTTCGTGTTGTCAATCAGCACAAAGAAATGCATAAATTCCAAGTAATTCCAATAAAGTGAATGGAAATAGTTGAAAGGTTGGTTTAACATTTTTTAAAAACAGAAATCTATTTAAATGTGTGTTAGTTAAGTATTTTGGCTGCCCTGCAAAACATATATCATGCAGAGTCCACTAAGTTAAAAAATTACAATAAATTTAAACAAATCAGAAAGCTGCAGATTAATTTAACACTTTAATGATTGATGGTCTTTAGTTTTAGTCTCTAGTAACAGTAATAAAAACGGAAATGTTATGATGGTAATCAGAGGGTAATCAATTCCACATTCATTGGATCTATTACTTTCGATGCAAAATTTTACCCCCCCCCCCCCATATTTCTGTCCTTAAATGTGATATAAAACCTGACTTTTACAATTACTTTAGCATTTTTTGTACCTCTAATCCTTTTGTTGAAATCATATTTTACAGCAAGCTTATAAAGGATAAGAAGAAACTAATTAAACAAAAGAATAACTCAAGAGAAAGGAACTGAAAAAAAAAACACATTAAACTTTCTAATGGATGAAATATAGATGATGGCGACACTACAACTACTGGAAAGTGGCATTTTCAAGAGGATGCAGAAACAGTTTAAATAGACTATGAGGGCCAAACAAAAACACAGAAGGAGATGCAGAGGTTCCCAATAATAATTGTTTATTATTATCTGCATTTCACCACAATCTCTTTTATGCTTAATATTTCTGTAGGATAACTATGTTCTTTTAGAGCTTACTCTTAGGAAACTCTAAAATCTGCCCAAATATGGCAGCACAATGTTGGATAAAATAAACATACATTTTAACAGACAATCCTCAAATGTCACGAAGAAAGCTAAAGAAAACTGGAGATGTTGAATTTTGGGGAATCAACAATATAGGGTGAAAATAAAAATCTGCTGGATTTGGACAATTTTTAGATTATAGGTTTGAGACAAAGTATTTCTAGGTAAGGGTGTGGAAAAATGATTAAAGAACAGCAGCAGTAAAAATGAAGCGGTAAATCGCTCACTCCAGCAATCAAGTTATTGCACATTTTCCATTGATTTCCTCCCAATAAATGTTTGTTTTTGATTTAAATAAGTGTATTCAAAATGGCATCACTTTTAAAGAGATGTGTACACCTTTTGTACTTCTGCATGCAATCAAATATATAAAGAGTGTATATGCATTTTATAATCAAAAACTTTCATTAACTTTAAGGATACGTTTATATGCAAATTAACCATTTTTCAGATATTTCACCAAGCAACCAAACCTTCACGTGTTAAGGATGCAGGTTCTCTGAGTAACACTTTGTTTCTAACGTTTCCACAAGATGGAGCCAGAGTTCATGTTTTGTTTTCCTCTGTGGATTCTCCAGGTATGTGTTTGTAATTTAGGATGAAAGGCGAAAACACTGCTTTTATTATGAAGAATCCTCTTCACCTCTGTGGACTGTGCTCAGCTGCAGTATTGCTCTGGGAATTTGGGTTATGAAATAAATCAGGTCAGAGGATCACTCAAACAGAGGGGGGGTGATCCCGTTGCACCAGTGGAGCAAACCAGAGCCAACAGGTTCCTGGTAAAAGGAACCTGTTGTATCATCCCTGAGTGGAGGCAGTGGGACAGGTGATCTGCTTCTTGATTGACCTCCTCATATAAAAAAAGTTGTATTTAAATATGTGTTACTTTCACTTTTTAATATATGGCAAACCTGACTGTATATCTTTCTCTTAAAAAAAAACAAACAAACAACAGAAAAGAAAGTTTACTGTCTCTCAGCTGCCTTTGAGGTACTGTGAACATTATGTTCTGAAATGTTGACTTTACATCATAAGATCATTGAGGTCTTGAGAAGTTAGTGCTGATCTTTGTGACCTTAAACCAATAATAACCGAGATACAATGAGGAAGTTAGGGAGGTTTGTTGTTTAAAAGATTATGTGGTTGGGAAACTTTAATGATCCCAGTCGAAAGGAAGGATAAAGTTTACACTTGTGGTCAAAGGGAGAGGATGACTTCGCAAAGTTCACCTGAGTAGATTTCGCAACTCCTAACCTCATTTAAGCTCTCACCAACATCCGCTTTGCCAAGATTAAATTCCCTTTAAAGGTTACGAAGATTGCTATGTGAATGAATTCCTTTAGATGCACAGAAACAGGAGTTTCCCACACAGACTTGTAGAGATTCATTACATGACCTGGTCCTATGTTATGCTTCCTGAAGGGGCCTCGGCTCTGATGAGTTAAGCAATATTGTAGTTGGTTTGGCAGCTTCCCAGCAGCTAAGACAATCCAGCCACCCTGTTGATACCTAATCTTTGCTCACTACCCTCCACCACCCCCCCACACAGACACACACACACAGACATGTAAGCAGGTATGCAGAGGAACGCATACACTCAACACAACACTTGCGCAAGCCCAAGCCAGCCATGCCCCGGGTAGTCATAACACGTAAAGGGTGGAGAAATGCCAAGCTCTTATAGGTCAAATGATCCGTGAGTAAAAGTAGACCAGGCAGGAAGAAAGAGCAGATGTTTTGAAGGTAAAACTTAGTTTTTTTTTTCTAATAACTTGACCTCATGCTCTGTGGGTTATTGGAAAAAGAAAGCAACAGAGAGTACGTTCTCCCTGGTGTATTCCAGGAAAAAGACATTGACCTGCTATTGACATTTGTGTGTTTGAGGAGTTAAATGTTACATTACGCAAAGGTCAGGGAAGAGAAACCATTAGAAGAAGAGATGGAGACTAACTGGTCAAGTGTTTGTCTTGTCCTATTGGAGAGGGAGACAAAAAATGTGTTGGCCCACATAGCAGGCTTTGCTCAGGCAGAAAGATTTCTGTCAAGAAAATCTTCAAGGCACACACCTAATCTGAGAGGGAATTCAAAACAAGTCACATCATAAATATGAAAAACTGTGATCTTTATTCAATAATTCCACATATACTTCAAATATACATATTTACACACTTTTTTACACTGAATATAACTCTCACATGTAACCGCTTAGGGGCCGATGAAGCCTCCAGGTTGTGTCACAAATACACGATTCACAGTGCAATATGAAGATGTGCACCCGTGTCAGTTTATTCTACACATCACATGACTCACTCTACATATATAAAGCAAAAAAAAATAATTCATACATTTCCTACATTACTTTGTGAGGAACAAGGAAAGTTATCATGTCTCTTGCCATCTTTGGCAAGCAAACATGTTTTAAAATAAGCTTCTGTAAAGACCCGAAATTAAAGGATAATCACTCTTTAGATGTACCAGATTTAGTACCATTGTCAAGTTTATTGTGTCAGAATGAAATAGCTAGAAAAGATCTGCAACTACTTGTCTCTTTTAGGCGTTGTAAATAATGTCCCTGATCATGAAGACGAAGGGAAAGAGGGGTTTCAAAAGAACTGATAAAGAAGTGAACTGGTCTGAACAGATTCCTCCAGCCAAGGTCAGAGTCAGACTTTACTGACACGCATAAGCGCTGAGTCATCAACAGACATTGTATAATGCCAGATTGTGACAGACTCAGACTCGTTCGGTTTAAGATGCACAGTGAAGACAAGTGCAACAATTGGTTGTCGGCTTGGCTTTGTTTGGCATCAGATCTTGACAGGATGTTTAAAAGGGAAAATGTCTGATTTTTAAGACCTCAAAAATAAAACAATCAGAATGTTTTTATGATTTAAATTCATTTTAAGAAAAAGTACCAGCATAGCTTAAGCTTTATGTTGCTGTAGGAGCATAAAGCAGGGCAATGCTGCCCATCCCTCATGTATTGCTGCTCCCCCTGGTCAGCTAGTCAAAATAAGGCTGCTATTACCTTTTCCTTTCTGCAAAACAAACAAAATAAACTGAGTGTTTGTTTTTACCAGCTAGTAAAACAGCAAGCAATGCAGTTTAACCTTACAAAATACCAGCTTTAACTCTGAGAATGTAATAATGTTTACAGGTGTACTTAAGAACTGCCTGCAAACAAGTTTACATAGCAGATAACTTAGCTCCATACCCAGATAGCCAATATGGACAATCTTATCTGCAAAGAGTGCTTCAGAACTATGACTGAAATCAGGGGGTCCTTTCTGTTAGATTATAATAATAGTCATTTCAAGATCATATCAATGATATTTGTATTTTTTTTTCTTTTAATAGGCCTATCCTTTAAATACTACTACTTAGTTTTGTAGTGTAATAATTTCATACTGGCCCATGCCCAGTTGTGGCTACAATGGCTGCAGCATTTGATTAGACAGTTTCTCACCAGGTGTACCTTTCTTTATATAACTCATCACAAATTAGATAAAATCTCCCCTCTGTTTGTTTTTTTACAAGTACTTCTGTCAGACCTGGTGTCACTATTAGTTGCTGACTGAGCGTGGCAAGTCTTACACCAGCAACATCCTGCCTTTCTCAACCTTCTGCACATGGTGTGAGATTTGCAAAGTGATCTCCGCTCGCTCAGACGGTGCCAGATTGGCAGTGAGACACCTCCGTGGTGTCACGCTGAGTGTGACACACGAGTCCCTTCCTAACCATCTTTCCTGCTCTGTGTCACTGTCTGCTCGAGGACGTCGGGCTCAAGCTCAGGCCATCCTCGAGTCGACCGTTGAGTCAGCCACAGCCTGGCCAGAGAAAGAGAGGACCAACAACCCTGGCCACGGCACTTAAGATTCAGCTAATGCTGTGTGAAGCCACATGAGTGCTGGCCTGGAGATAGAGGGGTTTTATATTCATACGACAAACTCCAAGAAGCCTGCAGAGGATATTCTTTGAAATCAATCTGACAAAGTCTGAATCACTGTGATTCTTTTTAGCACCATCTATTGTTTTAAAATGCACAACGAATGACCATTGTGAGCAATGCCCTTAGAAAAGTAACACATACAAGACATCAGAGTACAGTACAGTGAGTTTCTGTAGAAAGCTTGAGGTTGTATGTACACACAACAGTACACAAATGGGTTTCTGAAAAAGTGCCAATGTACAAAAACTACGATGACTCCACTCAGAGCAAGTTCTGTTTTGGTCTCTCAATCAGACTCTTGAACGAGTCTGTCAGCAGAAGAGATCCTCATCCTCCTCCACTTCAAATGACGGCACGGTCTGTTCTGCCGAGCTCGCCTCCTGTTCGCCAAACGATGCATCCTGGGGTGATGACGGCAGGTGGAACCACGGGTGAGTGAGTAGCTCAGTTGCTGTTAGTCTTTCTGAAGGCTCCTTCCTTAGCAGGCTCTGAAGCAGACACTTGGCCTTAGGTGACAGGCCCTCAGGCAAGCAGCACTGCCCCCTGCGGATTTTGGAAAACAAAGTTGCGGGGTCTGGGTCATGGAAGGGGTAGCGACCCACCAGCATGGTGTAGAGCATGACCCCCAGGCTCCACATGTCGGCCATTTTGCCAGAGTACGGAGTGGGGCCACTGAGGATCTCAGGGCTGACATAGGCAGGGCAACCGTGGGTATCTGACATAGAGTCTTTGGTGGGGTCCTCAAGGATGCGGCAGTCCTCAAGGCTCTCAAGTCTCACGTGTGTCCTGTGAAGACAAATTTGAGGAATTGTTAGAATGTAAACACTCTAAGCTGATTCTGTTTAAACCTGCAACAAGAACAGAAAGCTTTACGTATTAAGTTTTATGACTTGCAATCAAAGCGTTTTTCAATTAGCCTTAATCTGCGCAGCAACAGATGGACACCCAGTCTGGATACAGGCAGCACACATATTTACATACCACCCTCCAGTGAACTCAGTCTGACCTAAGAGCAGCTGAGTGACTCCTGTTTAAGAAACAGAGCTGCCTAAGCAAATTTCCAGTAACTTCCTGGCACCAGTGTGGATACATAAACACTCATATAAATTTCAAACTGCAGAGCTCCCTCCCCCTTCCGTACTCACAGTCCGTAAACTATTTTTAGGCACGTAAATGACGGGACATGCATTAAGTCAAGCTGCAGAGCAACCGAGGCGCTGAGATTTTCTACTCAGAAGACATTGACATATGTCTGTTACCAGCTGCTCAGGACAACCCGTGATTATTTAAATCAAAATGTTTTTATCAAAAACTTAAGACTGTTTATAAGTGGACAGGTGGTGTAAATGAATCAGTTTTCAAACTATCTGGGTTAGTATAGAGACAAGGACCTTATTAAACTCTTTGCAAATTGGGCCAAATTAGAAAGTCTAAGGGGCTGCATTTGCACATTTAGGGTAATGCTTTCTACTTTAAAAGACAACATCTGTTTAAAAAAATCTCCATTTCCTTTTCCTGAGTGTTTCCATTAGACCGCAGACATAGGCTCACAGACTTAATAATTGAGCATTAAAGCAAAACCTGAACTACAATTGTTTTAGAGATAACTTTTCACCCAGCACTATGATGGGGTCTTTGACTTTTACACTTTTAAGTAATTAATATTTATATCATTGCCACCTGTTGAAGCTCTAAGGGCATTGCAGCATTCAAAGGGCCCCATTAAGGCAGAGTTTTTGCAGTAGAGGGACCACAAAATATTTGTTGAAAAAGCATCTGAAGTAGTGTAGCTGGGGCCTCGGAGCAGAAGTGGAACAAAGAAACTTGGGCCCTGTCCACAATGACACCAATATTTTTTAATCTGGAGACCTTTTATTCACATACGTCACTGTTTAGTAAACTTAGATTTTTTTAAAGCCTCCCTCTGCATATATAATCTTTAGAAAACAGCAATGAAGCATTTCCTGTACATTTTCTTGTCTTCCTCATGTCTCTGAAAAACTTTGAATGAAAGCCAATAGTGGGAAAGAAAACACAACCAAACATGGTTTGAAATCGGGATCCTCTTGAATTTTGATGCAGAAAATAGTGACGTTTGCTCACCCCGTTTGAGACTTATATATACATAAAATGCATAGGCCTGTGTAGACATATACTGTCACTGTCTACATACTGTTTGCAGAAACTTATTTTGTACCAACAAATTAAACTGGATGCATATAAAGAGCTCTTAATTTAAGTATTTTTCAATTTTTGAGAAAACTAAAATGTCAACTCATCAGTACAGGATTGACTTTGTCATAATAAAAAGGTAAAAAAAACAACCTATAAAACATTATATTTGATCATTTGTTTTGTAGCTCTACTTCTGGGAGGCCCTGCATCAGTAAGAAAGATGAGTAGAGGGGAAAAAAGGTCACAGTAACAAGTGTGAAAGCATGACAGCCATAAGGACCAAAGCAGAGAGCGAATGATATTTAAACAACCAGATAGTGGAGGAGATAAGTCATTGGAGGAGAAGAAGGAATGAAGGCAGAAAGGGAAACAGAACAGAGAGAGTTAGAGGAGTGGAGAGAGTGAGTCATCCTCTCTGTTGAGAGAACATATCTTCTCTCCTCTCCGGCTACGTCTCAAGCCGAGGCTATCTGCACCTGGGTCCCACACTGGCGGCGCCAGCCATGCCATAATTACCCTCAAATGGCTGTTGCCACATCAGTGACGCACGGGGGAGGAGGGCTGGCCTGGCAGTCAAGCTCTGCATGCCTCTTTGTACTATTCACCTTCTCTAAACTGGCTCCTCCATCTGCACTCAGTTTGTCCATGTCTGTATATGTGTGTGATTATTGACAGCATTTGTCAGATTTTTATTTTTTGTGATTGGACAGCTGCTCTGTAGACCAGGAAATTGCAGCAGAGCTTGTGTAATTAAGATTCAAGTGTGCTCCATTGTAAATTTCATGGAAATGTATGAAAATGTTAAGATCAGACATATTTGTATCACACTTAAATTGACATGTTCCTTTAGATGAACGATTTTGACTTTAAAAAGGTTATGCATACAAAACCTTTCCACAGTGAGAAGCCTCCCTGAGTTTTCTTTTAGTTTTAAAAGAAAACTTCCTATTAGGTTAAACAGATTGCAGCCTTTTGTCTAATTTTGCACTAACTCCAATATGCATGAACAAACAAACAAAAAAAGATTGAGGAAAAGAAGCTGTTTAGCCCTCCCTCCTCTTTGCACATATACACTGTGACTCATCACTCTGCAGCGGTATAGTTATTAGAGGGGCACAGGCGGCTTCGTCTTCTCTCTGTAGGTCCCCACTCCTATTGATTTCCTTTGACCCTGCAGGTGATAAGTCTTCATAGATGAATGTTGGGAATATTTATTAATTGTAGAAAATAATAGCATAATGTTTTGAGTTATTTAATGAACAGAGCATAACACCCAGAGGTTTATGTGTGTCTGTGTAGATTGAATGCGTGTGGGAGCCAGTTCAAAACATCTGAACTACGTCTCTGTGCATGAAAGTGTATGTGAATGAAACCAAGTTAGAGAGAGCAGTCTTCCTGCAGCGCAGCTATGATGTAATTTATTAATAAATAATGAGTAATAAATGTTTTTGAATAGAAGGGCCCCTCAGTAGGGTACGGTTGTCTCATTCAGCAGCCTTGTCTCGCTGCTTTGCCAAAACTACCACCCACTACATTCACACAAGCAGGCACATACACATGCAAAACAAACAGATAGGAAGCATACAAAGGGACATGTCGCAGGCGAGGATGGGAGACAGACAGAGAGGGTGAAAAATCTGGGAAGCTGAACAGTCTGCCTCTACAAGTACAGAACCTCCTACTCGATCTGTTCTCACATTCAGATCTGCACACACAGCCTGTGTGTATCAGCTGCTGCCGTGCAGGCTGTGGACATTCACTAGCATGTGCCACTACACTTCATCCATTCAAACAAAGTAACTTCACTGTTAGACCAACATTACTCGGATAATTGAGTCTAATAAATATGCACATATATACTGTCTGCAAATGTACATCAACAGGGTGCACTGCTGCTTTTAAATCACATTTTATCATCTCTAATTTGACATTCTTGACTATCAGTGTTCTTTTAAACTGCAGGTAAAATCTTATTTAGACTTAAAATAACTAACTTTTAAAAATCTGAAGCATGCTATATCATTAGCTACACAAAAAGAAGGATCAATGCTTGTGCATCCTTCCAGTTCAGCTCATTTGGACCTTATCTCACCTTTTCTCATCTGCAAAGACAAACTTGCGAAGCTTGAGGTCGCCCAGCACAATGCCAGCCTGGTGGCAGTGCGCCACGGCCAGGACAACCTGCTGGAACAGCCTGCGGGCCTGCTCCTCCTCCAAGCGTCTGCAGCTCTTCACCAGGGTGTGCATGTCCCCAAAGTCCTTGTCCAGAAAGACGTAGGCCCTGCTCTCCCCAAGTATGATGTCCTTGATGCCGGCAATGTTCCTGTGAGGCGGCAGAACGCTGTAGGCTCTGATCTTTTCCTGATACATCCCCATATCAAACACCTTTAAGAAGGATTGCAGAGGGAAAAGGGGAAAGGAAAATATATGGTGGAAAATTAGGGAGAAAGGGAGAGAGAGGGGATTTGTGATTATGTGTGGTATGCAAATATGGAGGTGGCAAATAAGTGTTGCCACAAAGGCAAATTTTATTTCCTAATGCTTTTGCTGATAGTCTTGCAATATATTTATTTATTTATTGTTTTTATATATTTTTTTGCAAACCAGAAGTGTTAAATGTAAAGCGTCAATAAGTTGAAATGTGTTTCTTTATTTCTGTTAAAGACTTCCTTTTTTTGCATATGTGATACTTAGTATTTTAAAATCAAGGATATGGGATTGTATGACATCTCCAAAAGGGTGTTTAAACATACCAGATCATAAACATTATTCTAAAATTATTAAAAGCAAACAAAAAAATAAATAAATAAATAAATAAAAAACAAAAACAAAAAGACTTGTATGAGAAAAACCGGTTATGGCTTTTGATATTTGTCACTGCAAATGATTTGTGACTCCCATTTTTAGATGCGCCCCTACAGATGAGTCACTGAAGCATCAAGTGATCAACTTTTATTAATTAACAAAGCCAAATACAATCAGCTTCGTTCATGCAAAAAAAGGGTAAAATAATTGTAAAAACCAAAAGGATATCCTTATTGGGAACCATCGCTTTCTATTTTTCCAATACATATTTGCATTTTTGTGTTTTGTCACAGCTTGGCGTATTACAGTGACGTGTATGCAAATAAGCTGAGTTGACAGACGTGGATCTGTGGCACCTCTGTGTGTTTCCATAACTCAGCACAAAGAGACAGCTTTTTTTCATTTGGGCGAATGAAACAGCTTGGTGTAGAACCCTAAAAATAATTAAGCAACGTCGCTGTTATTACGCAAAGTGTCAACAGATTTTGCGTGAGAATGACAAATGTTGAAAAAAAAGTACCATAAATACGGATAACATGTCAGACGGGCGATTGAGCAACATCATTCATTCAAAGAAAATTGCACAATTCCCCTGATTGCGCATACCTTGCACAGCAGCTCATCGCCGGTGTCGGTGTTCATCGCGCCGTGCGCGCTCTCCCGGTCCGCCAGGGGCAGCAGCAGGAATGCGCCTATCCTGGAAGGTCCCTGGTGGGTCGAGGGGATCGGATTGACCGCAAGGCTGACCGGTGAGGTGGGGGACGTGCCGAGGAGTCCCTGCGGGTCCCCTGAATCTGCGATCAGCTTTGCGCATTTAGCCGGCGGCTGATCATCTGAGTCCAGGCGCTTGTGCGCGACTCTTCGGGTGCAGGGGGCCACCAGGCTGCTCCCCTGCAAGCTCATCCTGAGGGGGCGTTTGACCATCAGGAATAAAAATGTTATTAAAAAAAATATTAATAATAATAAAAAAAAACGAGTCCACTTGTGTCGGACTCCTAACAGAACCTATTAACAATATTCTCCATTTCCTGCGTCGGAGACAAAAGAAACTAATAATCCAAAGTCCTGTTTTGAATGTTGTTTTTTGAGGAAAAAATCCAATCCTAAGTAGATCCGACAAAGAAACAAGGGAAAGGAGACAGACAGAGGAAGAGAGAGAAAGAAAAAGAGAGGTTGCCTCACTCACGGAGAGGTTGAGAGTGAGTGAGCTCCACTGATGTGGAGCTGTGAGCTCAGTCCAGCCTCCCTGTGACACAAGCATTGAGTAATCCAGTAACAACACTGACTCCAGCTACAGTTCAGCCCGTCTATGGGATGACTCTGCCCACTGGGTTACCTTTCAGTAAAGAAGCGAGTATGAGGCTGAGGGAGTTTTCACAGGGTGTTGTGAGTCTCCACATTCCTCCACAGTTTTCAGATTGCACTGATACAACAAGAGCAAGCTGCCAGGAATGAAGAGACCATCATGTGTCACTCAACCTTATCATGTCTACATCATTAAGCATGTTAACAATATGTAGTCAAGTAGACAATAATTAACCATCTCTAACTTGTCTGACTCAGGCATTTCGTAATTTTTGCTCTTGCATCGCATTTTTTCTTTTTTTTTTTCTTTGAACTAGCTGTAACTTCTTTCTGTAAAGTGTAGAAACAAAAAACAGCCTTGAGTTTTTTTTTTTTTTTTTTTTTTTGGCCTACACACATACACAAAAAAAGAACCATGGGGACCTTTAGTGACTTTAGAAAGGAGCACATTGGACTAAAACTAATGTCAGTCTTCTGTGAACAAGATTAGTCCTAATTCATTTTTCCAGCCAGTGGGGGATGTGCCTTTTGCTGTACCCTGTATGAAAATACCTTCCTGTAACCCTGCTGCTTGATGACTTTGAACATAGAATTTTAATTACAAGAGCCAGACTTCCAAATTAAAAGGCCTTTTCCACTCTGATGAAAATCATTTGAGTACTATTTAATAAAGTCCAAGTTGAAATCTGAAATGTATGGATTTGCAGAATCATGGATTGTTTTATAAAGATTCTTGTAAGAGTCTTATTCTGTTTACGGAATCCCAAATGTGACGATATGAGAGCAAAAACAAATTAGATCAAAACAAGCTTAAAAATGTCCTTATCATTTCTACACTCAATACGCATTTAAAACATGATCCCATAATCTGCTGTGATAGCTGGCCTTAATTACTCGTGCCTTTCACCTGATTCACTCTTTCCAGCTCCTAATTATCATTCATCTCATCCACCTGCCAGATGCCCTTATATTGGCTCAGTTCCAGCTATCATGGCCAGATCATTAGATGTTTTCTGTTAGTCTGTCTGTTCAGTTTATTTAGTTCATGTCCTGGATCCTGGCAGCCAGTGGAAAGAGGGTTTTGTGTCTGTCTCGTCTCCTGCTCATCCACTGTTCCTCCCCTACTGAGTCCTCTGGCTTTTTGGCTCTATACGCGGGGAGATTCAGTTTTTATTCCAGTAAGCCTGGCTCCAAGGTGGATACCAGTTTAAAGGTCCTGCTCAAGTTCTGGTTCCACATCCTGTCTCGGCTACCCTCTTCCACTGAGTATGCACCTGATACTGTCTGCTCTTGTGTGTGTCCGCTTGGTCACGCTTCTGGACTCTAAACCTGCCTGGGAGCTCTAGGATCCCTGGAAGCCTGGATCCTGCCTGCTCTGTCTGTTCCTGCCTGTTCTGAATCCCAGTCCAGGATCGGAGCAGCTCCACTTTAGTTTTGTTTTTCATTTAATAAATGTTTTGAACTTTCCTACTGACTGTCTCCCCTTGAATACTGGGTGCATCTGTCCCGATTCATGACGCATGGCTTCAAATTTTTATGGTGCAAAGAGACCTAAGAGGTTAGGCAGGAAATTGGATATGTTCTGAGCATAAACAAAAGGGCAGATATTACTTAAAGGTACAGTGTGCAATAATTAGAGGAATTTACTGACATGTGATATATAATCTGTATATTTGTTATTTATTAACTATGAACTTAAAGTATCAGTCTTTATGTTTGCCTTGCCTTAAAATATGCTACTTCTATTTACAGAGGAGTGGGTTAGTTTGTGGAGGCAGACATCTTTTCTTATAAGGCTTATAAAATACTTTTTGTAAAATGATGTAAACTAGACTTACACCAGCCATGACCAGTGTTCTGTCAGAACAGCATACACTGTCAAATCGGCATACACCTGTTTTTATCTAACCTAAATTAATTCTGAGTCACAATATAAAGCATAGCCAATGTTTTCTATGATTTTAAACAGGAAAACTAACATCTAACTAAATTTACATTCCCGCAGACGTGTTATTTACTACTAGAGTAACTTATTTTAGGTTAAAATTGAATTGTATGGTTTTAGCTATAGATGAGTCTCCTTCTAAAATCCCTGAAACTTCAATCATGAGTGACAATTTCTGCATCCAACAAATAACTGATTTTTTAGACCCCCAGGTTGGGGTCTGAACTGCCCCCTCACCCAAACCAACTCAAGTCTCCGCTAAGTGCGGACCCCATTCCCCCCGTCCTGCTCTCCTTCCGCTGGCTGGCGTCGGGGCTCGCCGGTGCACTGGTGGAGCTCGGGGTCCGGGGGTGGATGCCCAGGTGGCTACTGGCTCATTCCTGGCAGCCTCTCCTCGGGCCCCGGCCGGCCGGGGCCTTGCTGGGGCTCTTGTCTGGGGGTCGGGCGCCCCTGGGGCCCAGGACCGGATTCACTTAAGGGTGGCTGGCTGCCGGCGGAGCCCGCGGACTCCGGAATGGTGGTGGCTGAGGGGCTTCTTGGGGGCTGTCTCTCCTCCTCCCTTGGTGGGGGTCTGATTTCCGGGGCTGGCCCCTCCTTGGTGCCTTCACTCTTGGGGTCCCTTTGGACGCCTGGGGCTTTGGGCCTCCCAGCGCTGGACTCAGTGCTCTGGGGGTTGTGCCTATTCGGCTCTCCACAACCACTACTGAGCATTTTTTCTGTGCATTTTTACATGCACAAGTGCCCCCTCACAAACAATTACAGGTGCTTGGTTCCAGGTACTCAGAGATTCACTTCCATACAGAAAGCCCACATTCATATCTTCAAGTAACACAGAGTACATGTCAGACTTAATAATACTACTTAATACTACACCAGCAAGAGTCAACCTCTAAGCAGGAGCATGATTGCCTTTGTTCGAGCAGGGGAAAAACTGCAACCCTCCACGAAGACCCGAGGGGGCCTGCTCACGACAGCAAGGGACTGGCAGCTCTTGGTCGATCCGGGGAGGCAGTTGAGATTCCCAGATTACATCGCAGGCCCGACACTCCGCCCGGACATGGTGCTGTCATCAACTTCCACCAGGCAGGTTGTGCTGCTTGAACTAACTGTTCCTTGGAAGGACAGCATAGAGGAAGCCCAGGAGAGGAAGAGGGCTAAATACACCGAACTTGTGGCTGAGTGCCGGAGGAATGGCTGGAAGGCCCGCTGCGAGCCTATTGAAGTGGGCTGCAGGGGCTTCGCAGGCAGATCTCTACACCGTGTCCTTGGACTCCTAGGGATTTGCGGTCTGCAGAGACGAAGAGCAACCAAGAACATCTTGGAAGCAGCTGAAAAGGCTTCACGGTGGTTTTGGTTGAAGAGGGGGGAGGCGTGGCGTAGTGCGCTACCTGGACACAAGTTGGGGAACTGATCACCCCCGGCTGGGTCGCCCGAATGAGGGTGTATGACTAAGACCCGAAACACCCAGTGATCTAGGGAGAGTCACTGAAGATGTGTCCAGGTTGCACCACTAGGTGTATTACAATTCTTCAGCGATAGTTTCAAGTTGTTGTTTTATTGTATGTCTTGTACCATGTCTGTTGGTTGTGCTGTTCTTTTTACATCTCGTTGCAGGTGATGAAGCGGACTGAAAATATTGTGTCATTGTCTCCTTTCTATCTCCTCTTTCTTTCATCTTTTTTCTTTTTTCCTTTTTCTTCTTCTGTTTTTCTGCTCTATTTACATTGCAGTGTCCATATAAACTGTAAAACTCCCTGCATACAGTAACTATAATAAAGCAATTTATATGCATGAAACAAGTGGAGCAATACGGCAATTGCCATACTGCTACACTTGTGAAAATAAAATCTGTTGGGCTCTTCAAGACAATTATTCTTATCGCCACATTGTCAGACAGGACAGTGTATATAAAAAAAAAAAAGCAGATTTTTTTTCTTTTTTAAAAGTTTAAATAAACTTGATTTTGCTGGGTGGTACACTGCTGCTTAAACTCTATTTTGGAATAGTGAACTGTAGAGCCTTGAGATGACATGTGTTGTGAATTGGCGCTATATAAATAAAATTAATTGAATTGAATAATTCTCTGTTGCACATATGTGCGCATGCGTAATAGAACAATGTATGCCGATCTGACAGCCTATGCTGTTCTGACAGGACACCAGCAACTGTCGGGTTATTAGGAAGAGAACCAATTTCAAGTGCCAGTTGTTGAGATTTTGATTAGTTTTTTTATTGTGATGGGATCTCATCTTTCTTCTGCCCATGTTTATTTTCATTAGAGTACCTAAAACTGGGGGACGATTCACCTGGACAACAGAGGTTAGGGGAGGCAGCTGGTCTGAGCTCAGGCAGGAGCAGAGTGAGAACAACGGCTTAACTGCAGAGGATCAAAGCAGAACGCCAGAAGATATAATTAGTCTGCTGGGCGGTGAGAGGTCCAAAAGCAGGGTAAATTTACTGTGGCTTACTGTGAGGAGGATGGCGTGAGATAGAAGGAGCCACCAGGGCCGGAAGAGACCACGGCAAGCCAAGGCTAGCTTGTAGAGGCTAAGTGCGGGAGTTGGATGGGGGACCTGAGGATCAGGGTAGCCTGTGGGCGGACTGATAAGAGAAGGGATCAGCTGGTCTGTGTCTCCGCTGGAGGTCTGATATGAAACAGTCCTTCTAACTTTAAAGATTTCACTCAAAAACCTCTTCAGAACATTCCCTGCTTCCATTTTGATAAAGAAAAATTGTCTCTGTGGCCTCCTTCACTAAAATGGTCAATTCATGATACTTTTTCATCTCCCAATTGTTATACCAGATAACTGGTTGAAGAACTTATGGATTTGATACTGTAAATAAACCTGGTCATCACTTCAAAGGATAGGTAAAAAGGATATTGCAGAAGCCATTTTGGACCATGACAGCCTCCATTTCGTTGGATTGGAGAGATAGTGTTGGGGGTGGTTCATGTAGATGTCACTGAAAATGACACATTGTGGCTTTAAGCACAGCTGAAAACCATGACCATAGAGTATTTTGAAAAATTGTTTGCTTTGGCCTCTGTTCGCAGGGTAATGCATACTATTAAGACAACAAGATTTTATTTCCAA